GCTGCCCTCTTCGGCCATAGGAAAGGATTCATGTGCCCATCGGTTTTCTATTACTCCAAATATATTTCAGTCACGTCAGTTTGTCGGTTTTTGAAAGAGCTTCCTGTCAGTCGCCTGCAAAAACCGAACTCTGCAAGAATGATCACTTAAGTGGGACGAATTTCTCCCACTGATTTTTAATGCCCTTAGGAATTCAAATATGTTTTATAGAAAAATGCACAAAATTACTCATTATTTTACTCATTCGGTGCGTCTCATTCAAATTTTATACTTGGGAAAAGAGTAACTTCTGGTTTAGAAAAGTTTCTAATTATGCGGTCTGTTAAGACTATTTAATGTCCAGTCATACAGCACCACATCACGTTTATCAGTGCTGCATATAAATTGGGCGGCATGGTCCACATTAATTGCTAAACGTTGTGAGCTCTTTATAATATCTTCTCAACAACTTATAGAGATGTGTGTTTCCTTAAATGGAAAGAATACAACTTTTAGTTTGGAAACCCCGAGTACAAGTATAAGCGGCAGGTCGGGGTCGAAATTATTCGGGAGTTGGGAATGTTTTTTTAAACCGTCGCCCGTTCCGTTTCCTAACCGTCGACACTTCCTATTGCGTTCTGTTGCAGAATTACCCCAACTCGGACGTTGCAGCCATCTTAAACTGCGCAGCGGAACTCTATTCCCGTCATCACCAGTAGTAGTTTTTTCTTTCAAATTGAGCCTTTACTGCTTCAACCCCATTTTGCCTCCCCACCACTTCACTTCTGACTTGTGATTTGTGTTACCTTAGCATTTTGTAAAATTATGCGTCCTGCTCCGTAACCACGACCCCCCTCCCTCAAGGATCTTTATTACTGTTGGAACTGATTCCAGTGATTTTGGTCAACCGGGGATTTTTATGTACAATAATGCCCAAGCATTTGCAATTTAAAGATCGCTACTGCCTTTTTCAAAAACTGCTCAACGTATTGTACTTCGTTTTGCATCTTTGAGTCGTGCCTGCATTCACCGAGAATGGTTGGATACGCGGAGATAAGGGGTCCATATTCTTCGCCTTTAGTAGCCTGGTTCTTTTTGCGCGAACGGGGCGTGCGCGGCACCCATGGACGAGCCATTTATTCTTGTCAGTTACTGCGCCCGCTGCCGCCTCCGGTCTCCTTAGCTTTGCCCTGACAGGGGACTCGGGTGGTTGGGGGAGGAAAGGGTGCAGCAGATGCTGCGCAAGTCTACTGCCATTAGCAACTAATTCGCGCGCAAGTCGACGTCCCTACGCACATCCCACCATGGCTCACACGGTGGACCTGTGGTGAGGTACCGGACTAATTTACCTTTGACAATTTAGTTCCGTTTTCTTTGCTCGGATTGCGTGTTTGAATGTGACGAAAAAACACCTATGCAACCCGCCTTACTGGACTGCTTTGCTGTCGCGCTCGGTTGTCAGTTTGCTTAACGTTCAGAATCTCTTTATTATTAACTGCTCAGTTTTGCTTGCTGCCTTTAGGGCTAGAGGCTCGTGAGATATAACTAGTTAGTTCGTGAGAACATAATCATTTTCGCCTTCGAGGAGCTCAGATCCAGCGCGTGTGTGTGCCTTTCGTTGTCTCCGCGTCCGCCAGCCCATCATAGGGGGGACAGTGTTGATTGGCCTGCAGCACTCGCGGGACTAGTGACAAGCCTCGCGCGTCCCAGCAACGTATCGACAAGGGTGTGAGGCGGCGTGGCAAAAGCGGAGAGCAAGGAGACTCGAACTGCCACAGACCTCGTTCATAACGACTGCCAAAGTGTCAGGTAGCGAAGCTTGTGAAAATCGACGTCCGGATTTTTGGCGCGAGGCAACTTCGGGATTTTCCGAGGGCAGCACAGTCAGAAGCGATTTAGTTCGCTTGCTCGGCACTGCGCGCCTTAGCTTGATTGTTAGACGTCGTGGTGTTCCGTACAAAAGGTCCGACTTGCTTAGGAGATGTGGACTGCGAGCTTATTCTGGGTTGACTGCCTATGTGATCATAAGTTTCGTAATTTGGGTAATTCGAACTACGGCATGACCCAGATCAAGAATAGATAGCTGGAAAAGCAAATATATTTTACATAAAAGACTCAAAATTAATATTAGGAAGTAATTATTCAATATGGGGGCCGTTGTTAGCAATGATTTTCGATTCCCGGTCTATACTCGGTTCACGTGTTCCTGATGCATTCCGTTAATATCTTGCTCCGCTGTCTAGCAATTGATACTTTCAGGGTCTCGATGCTGTTGCGAGGCTTGTTGCAGGCCTCATCCACATACACCTAAATGCTGTAGTAGAGGGGATTTAAGTTTGGCGATGATGGTGACCACATATCCTTGGGCCAGAAATAAAGCATGTGGTCTTGCAGCCACTTATGTATCTTCCGTGACGCGTATGGAGGCGCACTATCTTGCTGGAAGACCACATTGTCATTTGAAGTGTAGTTGGAATCTATCCAAGGCTTGAAATGTATCTGAAGGATATCCGGGTACACGTCTGTGTGCACTTTGTATCCTGCTTTGCTGCGCACAGGGACATGACTTTGACGTCTGAGGCAATTATGCCAAAGACCGTCAGACGCAGGAAGTTTAGTCCGAAACTTATACTTAGCCTTATTAAATGCCTGTTAGACATTCAGGGTGCCTATGTAGCCATCTGTTTGACCGTTGGAAACCGAATCGGCCGTGAAGAGTTTTCCGTCGAAGCAGAGCACTGTAAGTGGCATTTTCTTGAGGAAGCTTTATATCCTCTTCTTTATAGTCTATTCTCTTTCACAGCCTTAGTAACGATGTGATTCTGGGTCCTAGCCATTGACTTAGCTTTCAGGTCCTTTTTCATAGCATTCCTGACCGTTTGTTCCGACACCTTAAGCTCCAAGGCCATCTTTCTCATGCTCCAACTGGAGTGCAGCGAAAGCGAGCCCTGCGAGCCCTTACAAGGACGAGGGGTTCGAACTTTCTTGTTTTTCCACTACCGGGCTTTCTGTTGACGCAGCCGAACTTCTTGTAACGGTCGATAATGGTGTAAGATGTTGACCTGGTCACTTCCAAATTGGCAGCCATGTTCGTGGGCGAGAGGTCATTGAGAATGAGCTTCATGAAAGGAATTTGACGTCCGAAAATCTCCGATACCGTGCAACCTCCCCCCTTCTTGACGATCGATATTCTACCACCGCCGGCAGTTTTTTCTCCTGAGCCCTCCAAACCATAAAAACCACCATCAACTATATTTTTATCCCTTTAGCACAGGAGTTTTTTTTCACTGCCGGTCGGATTTATGTTTAAACGCTTCCCTTGACAATGCCTGTAAACTGGCATTAATTTATTTAATTTATTTAATAAGTACCCAATTATTTTTTATATCGAAATATCTGTAATATTTTTTCAGTAACTTGATGTTGTATTGTTACCACGGTATTCTGATGAAGAAAAAACATAGTTTTCAATAAAAAAAATTTCAAATAGTAGTGACAAAACTATTGGGAAAGTAACGGCCGCACACGGTTGTTTGTGGCGATGGTGCTCTGAGCACGCATATGTGCATGCGGGATTCGGACGATGATCACTGAATACCATTTACTAAGTCATTTAAGATGCAGGATGACAGTTTTCTAGTAGTAGTTATTCTACTGTGCCCTCATGCGGTCATGCACTTCTGATGCGACTCCGGGTAACCGACAGGAGTGTCAAAACGCACAGTCTAAGAAGACCAACGATAATCATTTGTGAGGAACTACTTGTCCGCGTAGTCTTCAATTATTGAATGGCCTATCGCCTTAGCACTTGTTGCCGACGTCAGGGAGTTTCTCTTGCCTAAAGTCCGATGGTGACGACTTTACTAGTATGAGGCCGCTGTCATGTCGTGACTGTCTTCTTCTGGGTTGGGCAACCCCAAAATGACATTTGTTCCTAGAAATACCACCTCTTTACTAACTGAGGATGCGCGATTTGCGATGTTATGTAAGCGCATAACCCAGCTGTTGATACTCTGTTTTATCTGCCTACAATGTTCCGTTCGAGCTAAACAGCTGTAATGGCATTGATTATTAGGCGTGACAGTCCGACCGTCGCATGAAATAATGCCCACAGTGTGTGCCACGGACTAGGCGCAGGAAAATGAAATGCGGCAAATTATTTTATGATGATGGCAGACATACGCAGTATTTGCCAGACTTTTCCATACCTTGCCCGCCTGGCTGCGATGAAGGGACAATTGTAAAGCGCCTGGTGGAGGTCTTAGGCCGCCCGCCTGCGCGTGCCACCTACGATTTTTTCTCCGGAACCTGTGCCAGAATTGCACAGAAAGGAGTGCCTTGGACACCGTGTTCATGGGAGTGACTTTGGCGCTACGTCTGAAGTAGCCATCGGGCCTACTGTCAGCCATCTAGCTAGTTACCCCACATACAGTAGTGACCAAAAGGGCCGAGTTAGTTGATTGCTTAGCGGCCTTCCAAGTCACGACTTTTAGTGCACTGTGACAGATTCGGGCCCACTAGGTTCACCCCCACGAGGAATGCACTTGTGTACCATGCTAGTGGTTTTGTCGGCGTCCATCTCATTATCTGTTCCCTCACCCACTCACTATGTGACTGTCCAAGCATATCACCCACCTAGTAATGGGATTGAGTGCGTTGGCTTACAGAGCTGCAAGAGCCAGTCTACGAGCGCCAGACAGGGCCTGCTTGACAAGTCATACACCACGGTGCAGCGATGAGCATACTTCGTGCTTTAGATGGAGGTGCGTGTTCTGCGCGCGTTGTGGGGAATGCGGGCGAGTTTGTATGATGTATGGGCGGATTTTAGGAAATATCTTGGTGGGATTTGATGTGTGGTTCAGTTCAGTTCAGTTTATTGAGGGAAATAGGCGTAAGCATTTGAGTACCCTATTTGCAACGTAAGAAATGTGTGGTATACAGATAGATGTTCTGGGCTGAAATAGTTCACACACGCTCATAATGGTAGTACAAAAAGAGAACGAGTTGCAAGGGGGTGACCTCTACTTCTCATCGCTCTTGGTCATTTCGGAACATATGTCCAGATTCTTCTTAAAGCTTTGTATAGATGGTGATATCGCAACATCTGCGAGCAGCTCATTCCATGGTTTCACCACTCGAACCGAGAAGGAGAACTTCCGCACATCCAACCTGGCCTGCTGAGTGCGCAGTTTTAACGGGTGACCTCGGAGGTTGGTCGTGGTAGCAAATTCAAAAAAGTCCTCGAAGGCCAGACTGCAATCCAAACCCTTTACAGTGCGGAAGGCTTGCAAGAGATCTCCGCGAAGTTGCCTGTAACTCAAAGGAAAGGGGTTCAGATTTACTAAGCGGGTTGCATAAGGAAAGGAGGTTTGACCCCTAACCATCTTCGTGGCTCTCCTCTGGACACTTTCGAGGCAGTTTTGATCCTCAACAGCCCACGGCCTCCAAGCTTGTATGCCGTACTCTAAGTGCTGCCGGACGAATGTTCCGAATGTCTTAGAGAAAGCGTCTTCGTCAAAGTCCATAAACGCACGCTTGATGGCGTACAGTACGGACATTGCGGTCTTTGCCACCCTCGAACATTGGGCGGATGGTTTTAGGGAACTCGTCGTAAGCACGCCGAGGTCCCTTTGGGCCTCGACCTCTTGTAGGGCTGCACAGCCCAGAAAGTAGTCTCTTGTGCTGGCGGATCTGGCTGTGTTGCGTAGGCGAAGTATGCTACATTTGGCAACGTTGAACCGCAGGAGCCAACGGTTTGACCACTCCTCCAACCGATTCAGGTTCATCTGCTGCCTGTCTTCGTCGGTAGGACCCCGAATTACACTCCATATCTTCTTGTCATCCGCAAACATTGCTACCTATTTTAAGAGGAAAGCATATGTCTTAGTAGGCCCACTCAGTGACTGGATATCTGCGGGACCGTAGGGCAGGTATTATTCCGAAGCCATCGAGTATTTCATGATTTTCCTCTTAAGATATTTCCGTCATCGTTGACTTCAACCTGTGGCAGAGTTGGCACCGAGGATTCATCTAAGCGGGTTCTCATAACAAGCCCACATGAAGTGGCAGTTTCGACATTACTTGGATATTTTTCGGCCCCGCGTAATTACCGGGTGTAAAATTCGATTCAGCAGTCTGGTGGTCGGACATCCATACTTGCTATGTCATTTTCTGAACCCACAAATGACCGCTGAGGTAAACGTCGTCGAGTTGTCTCTTGCGAGCATTCGAGACTACTGTGACTCAGAAAGTGGTGGGCACCTTCACGATCTTTTATCTGTGTAGACAAAATAACATTGGCCATTTCCAACCAATAAGCAGCAGACAACCAGTCATACACAACCCCGAAGTTTAAAAGGCCTTGGGTTCGGTCCCGCGACCCGCTGGTTAGAAGTCGAACGCCTCTTACCACTGAGCCACCGGCTCGTTTTCCTGTCGGTTGTGATTTGGTATATACAATGCTAGGAGGACCGCGTTTTCATAACAACAAACGTTGGTTTCTTATTCTCCCGTATACTGATGGACTCTTTGTGCAATGCGATCAGCAACCAATGCCCTCAATAAATTCAATAAGTAGGTCCATACACGCGAAAGGGTTTACAAATTCACAGTTCATGGACCCAATAATGTCTGGGCGACAAATGCAACAAAGAAAGTGAAGATGCAGAGGCAGTTAATGGTTCAGACGCAAACTTGCGTTTCTTTTATTAATGACGTAAGTATGCTTTGTGGAATGTTGATGCTTGCAACGTTAATGACTATGCAAGCATTTACTTATACTGAAACATCTTGACGAAGGGGCCTGACGAGTTGTGGTTATGTCTGCCTTAATAAAAATATATTTAGTGAGTTGAATTTAATTCTCGTTGTCTGCGCCAAACGCTACTAAGAATAAGACGCGTTCATCGTAGACCTACAGTTTTGGATGTTGAGAGTACTGTGGAAATTCAAAACCAGGTGTGAGTGTTAATTTCAAAAAGTAACTGTTGGAACATTCTCTGCTGCAAAAGTGTGTGAAAAGATGGACACTCAATAGACTGCATTCCTAACGGCGAATGGTCCAATTAAATTAGCAAAGGAGTGACAAAGTACTTAGAGCCCCACTGAACTGGCAGAAAATGCAGCCGAATTCCGCGGGTGCTGTAGATAGGGATAATAGTATAAAATGGCCATGCAAACCGACAATGATATTTAATGACGGTCAAGTTTCCATCTTTGTCATATATTTTCTTCATACGAATGCCAAGGCAAAACTTAAATGTAAAATTTCCAAAAAACCAGCGACAGAAAATCTTTTTTAATAATAACGCGTACTCAACCGGAGTTTAACAGTGGTCACTACCACGTAAAAATGTATAACTACGTTTTTGTGACTAAGGAAATTGCCAAATAACTCAAGGAATATCACGAGCTTTTTGGAAGTGGTAAGTACTACAGTCAGTTGGCTTTATTACGAGAAATGCTGTTGACCCTAATTAGGTTTACAAAAGGTTCACTGCACTTACAATTTTTTTCATCTAATGTATTGGCGTTGAATTGCAAGTTCTTGTATGCGACACTTAACGCTAATTCGTTGTCTGGTTTTCAAATTTTTACAAATTTTTTTTACGATATCGCATTCCTTTCGCATCAAAATATATCTGTTTAATTTTTTCAATGCGTTTACAACCTTTTTGGTTCATTGGCTGCGACCTGCGGCTTTTAGTTGTGGGGCTTTATCTAAGTGAAATCGGATGCGGCGTTTGATTTCGGTCTTTTACCACACTACCAAGGTGTCCCGTTTAATAACACTGTCACTCGAATGGACTTAATCAGCACTAAAAGGAGACTCGTCTTTAGCGAAGGTGGTATTTTGTCTGGTAGCATATACTTCTCTTCTTTGTGCTAATTGTGATTGACGCGATGAGTGCGCTTATGGGCGCTTTTAAGACGTAACTGTGCTAATTTCAGGCGCACGTCTTACTTGCACTCGCGTCTCTCAGGTTTCGAACGAAAAAATAAGCCCACCTGAATGTTTAATTACTGTATTGTAGGTGCTGTTGCTCCACCGACAAAAACTAGCTACTTTCCACCTGCGTCTAGGTAAAGTGGTTTGATCACTTAGCAGATCAAAAATGCGTGTGTTCAGTTTTTTATGCAGATCATCCGGTTCTAATGTAGTTACTGAGTTCGTTCAATGCCTTTTCAACAGTAGGCTTTAAAGCCTAAGAGCAAATGTATATAATTATATACATTTGCTCTCCGTACATCTGGTTTACTGTATGTGTTGGCTCACCGTATAAATGTAGTGGAGCGGACAGCTCATTTTTCCATTTCGGTTGTGTCTCTTGGTTGGTATGGCAACATGCGCGCAAAATTCTCTGTGATGGGGTAAGGCTGCACATAACCAACCCAGCCCCGCCCAGTAGCAGCATTTTTTTACCACAATTTGAAGTTTGCTCTCCAGATGACGGACCTGTTTGGAGTGAAATTGTTAGGCCTGCAGTCTCTGCGTATGCCTGTCATACAGTGGTATCGTTCCTTCGCCTCGTAAGTGTGTTAGACCGCACTTGTGGAACTCAATATTCCTTAGGATACCTCAAAGACCGCAGAGGAACGAACCATTACGTGTCAGTTACCTTTTAGTTGTTAATACCACTCAGTTTTGAACTTGTTTTGACCTCGGTACTTACCAAATTTTTTTTGACAATGCCATACTTGTGGGAAATAGTGTGGAACATAGTATATAACCAGACATATCTGCGTGCCAAAACGAATCATACTTTTTGTTCGTTCCCTCTTTCATTAAATATTTACAATGTTTTCTACAAGACGCTCCAAGATAACCCCCTTTGGCAACAAAAGGATGTCATTTCTCCCATTTTATCTTTTTATCATGGTGATCATGCCCGTTGGATTTCTATACCCTTCGTATTGTCAGAAATTGTCGCTTTAGTCGTCGAAGTGCAAAGAGCGCTCTTCAGGTACTCCGAAGCCGCCTCCAGTCGCTCCAATCATGTGTTGTCGCCGTAGCTAGGTGAGATGGAGAGGGTTGCGATAGTTGCTGCGCAAGCCCGGCTCAGTATAAACCAATTAGCGTCGAAGTCACCATCTTGACACACAAGACGGGCTCCACAGTGGCCGCCATCTTTAGCAGTGCTTCAGAATAATACATGCGCATCTTAGCTGTTTTTCCTATGCGGGCAGGCTACATGATTTCATGCGGTTATTGCTGCTGTTAAAAAATGTGATTTCGTTGTTCCCTTTCGTTCACTCTCGATTTCGCATTGACATGTTCGACAACCAGGTTCCAACTGTTGTCATTAGCATAGATCTTGAAATCGGCAAATAGTTACGCGAAACCTAAGGGAGCCGTTGAAAGCCGTCCACAAAAGTGGTGTCTTCTCTGATATCACGTTGGGTTAGCTGTTTTACTCGGACTGCGTTCTAAATGCGCATGCATGCTTCCGGGCGAACCTCTGCCACTCATAGTGCTAGCAAATATTACCCATTTTGAGAAATTTTGCTCGTTGTGATTCTGGCGCCTCTTAAGGACTATATCCGCCCAAAATATCCAGAGTTTCTTGATGTTTATGAAGCCTGTCCAGTAAGGACCCGAGGTCGCGTTTTTAATACAAGATATTGTGACGAAGGCGATAGAGAGTAATAGCATACAGCACGGGAAGCGTCCATTAACGCTTTGAGTATGGCAGCTGTACCGGAAATATCACTAGAGACAGATGGTTTGTTACAAAACGATGAGAGTATAGGGCTCGCACAGTATGACCCAACTGAACGAATGGTTTCGGTTGTGTTTTACACCCACATAATATCACTTTAATTTTTGTTAAATCTAGCTTCTAACGGCACTGCCGAGCGGTACGTAGGTCTTATCTAGTCAGACATACCTCATGGGACACTTGATGCTGCCATTGTATAACGGCCAGTTTTCTAGTTACACAAAAAGAATTAGGATCTACTGATAGTCCTCTAAAGGGCACTATTTCGAGAATAAACTTCTGATCCGTTTTTGAGTTATTTTTTTAAATCCATTATACACAACTCTAGGTTTGTCATATACCAAAACAACTAGACCGCGCTCTTTCTCCAAACTGTGCCCGAAGTCTGTTTATCTTAAGTGGATGACGCTACTCACCCGTTCTAAAAATGAATAAATTTATTCTGTCCGGCACTAAGAAATGACCACAGGCACTAAGTTGGTTTAGTTGGTTAGTAAGTAAATAAGTAAGTAAGTTGGTTTAGCTTTTTCATTTGATACGACTGCGGCCAAAACGGTCCTTAACCACGCTCGAGAATATCATTGTCTGACTTTGCGGCCACCGTGGGCTCTTTTCTCCATGAGTGAAGTCCGAATATCGTAACAATCAACATTGATATTGAGTTGACACGGGTTGTTTATTGGCCAACTTTAATTGCCTGGGTCAGCACGCCGTATTTAATATAAATACTCAATTCTTTTACGGCTCTTATTTCATTATCGTTTATCGCCAGAATTATTAGATTATTTTCAAGATTTCCGTCACTCCTGCTGCAGTTTTTATCAGTTGCCTTTAGATTTTTTCTTCAAGTTTTTAGGTTTCAAAGATCGTTAAGGTTTGTTGGTTGAAATGGTTTGCGTGCTAAAAAGCAATGTCTTGTTCTGGCACCTTCTTAAGGAACAATAAAAAAAGCGAAATAAACGGGGAATCATGCCAAATCTGAACCATACACGCAGTTCGGCACCCGTCCGTTTCAACTGTATTGTTTCCTGAAATGTGCTATCGCACGCCCCCACATGACTTTACTGAAAATTCTTCTCAACCGCCGGCAGTCAGCAAACGTGGTCCGCTAACTTTATTAGTAGTTTCTTTGG